GAATGAATATTTAACCAGTCCCTAATGTAATTTTTGAGACCTATCGCTGAGGACCTTTTGTATACATTGACATTGTTATTGTGCGATAAACTTGTGTCTAATATCATTATTCTGGTCATTGCATTTTTGACCCGACAGCTGATAACGGTAGTTGGTTCGACAAGCAAGGCTTATCTTATTATAGAAGCTTGGTCATGGCACAGTTGGGTCCGCACGTTTGAAGCGCGGAGCGCACATTTTCTTCAAGGTGAAGAAAGCGTTTAAAGGTAAGCTTGCTATGAAAGAACAGCATTAAGGCAAAATGGAACGAAAATGATCACCAATAGTGAAGATCGATAGGGATTGCACAAGAAAAACTCGAAATATCCAGACTATCACAGACTATATTTCATAAGTTGATTGACTCGCCTTCCTGTGAAAACAGATTGACCGTCTTTCAGAGGATATGGTGAGCTTTTTGTGTAATGTTATCGTGATATTATTCGATAGAAGTGAGTCAGAGAATCTATGCTCAAGTGTGCAGTTTTCACTCAGCTAAAATTGCTTGAAAAGTTACATAATTGATACGATGCAATGTATCATGTTCTCTCCAATCTCTCCTAGCCTCGATTTGGTCGCCTCTTTTTCGCGAAAGAGATATCTTTTCAGTCGATATTCATAACAACATTTCAGTAACTTTGTAGCTGTATTCTGGTGAACAGTTCTGGAGCCTGCCAACATCCAAATTTTGTTTATAAATCGATATATCGGTCTGAAAAAAAAAAAAAAAACACCCCCATTTTTAGTTTGATTAACTGCTACGCTACAGTTGCTTTGTTATCACTTCTCAATGGTTATAAACATAATGAATAAAAGCGTATTATCTGATAAACTGCGGTGAATCATAATCAATTATGCTCTCTCTGCGATTTGGCAAAGGTGTTGTTTGTAAAGGAATTATATCAGTGTTTCTATGGCAGTATTTTTGTAGTGCTTAAGTGATAGCGGAAAAATACATTGGCAACTGAGTTATCAGTGTTTCATCCATCTCGTCTACTTGGGCTATCGGACGAAACAACAATAATGTTCTCGTTTCAAGAAGGTTTAGAAATTTATTTTTTGATATTGCTGGCAGTTCAACGTGAAGATAAGAGATATGGTAGGTAATCCCTGGCGACTACAAAGTATAATTCTAAAATAGAGTTGACTTATTACAGCTATCAGCTAAATTAATCATTCTAAGCCGTGATTTATCGGGAAAATGTCCTCGAAATAACTAAGATCAGTAGAAAGCTGAAATGCAATTACTGCTTTGTTATTGCGTGGTTAGAATGCATGCAATCCATGTGTCCTGTCATGTTAGGCCACACGACAACCTAACAAAACCGTATATTTGCGTTTTTTTGTTTGTTTTTTTTTTTAAATGATCAACATTGTGTAGAAACACGGCACGTAAAGATTACATTATAAACGTGTAAGAAAAATAGTAAATTTAGAATCAGTGAATTCGTAGATTTCCCGGCTGAAAAAAAAATGATCTTCAAATGTCCAACAGGAACAGCAGAGTCTGAAACCGAAATTTTGCTTTGTCATTGTGTGACAAGCGGAAGGGTGGGTGTCCATGAGAACAAGTGTACTTAAGTGGAATCTTCGAGGAAAAGCTGATCGCCGCGCCAGCCATTTATAGAATACACGTATATGTCAACTTCAAACAAGATCTTAGTAAGTAAAGAATCTACGACCATGCATGAACCCCAGGAGATGCTGTTTCATGTTTGAGTAGGTCAGTAACGTTCAAATGAGCATCAAATTACAAAAACTATAAAAGTAAACTTAGAAGGTGTTTAATTCGTGATGGCGACAGCTCGTAGAATGATCCGTAAAACCATATTGTATTTCTAATGATTCAAAAAATCTGTCTGGTATTAACCTAGACTTTGTTGAGATATTTTACCTTGGATTCTGCAGGCATTTTGTTCTGTCTTTCTTTCTGGCGATATCTTCCCTATAACTCACAGATCGAGATGGTGGACTTTTCCTAAAGGTCTTTCTGGTACAGTTCTGAAAACCATGTGTTCTCTTAAAAGCAATTTAAGAAGTCACGCTGCTTGAAAGACAAGTTTGTTCTTACTTGTTGACATCAGCAGTAATCTGTAGAAAAGCAGTTCAAAGCTGCACATTTATGCCCGGCAGGGAGCACTAAAATGCAACGAAACAGCAAAAGTGATACTTTGGAATGGATCAAAAAAAGAAAAAAAAAAAAAAACAGAAAGGTAAAAACAGAAAAAAAGATTAGAAAAAAAAAAGGAAAAAAGAACTGTAACAACGAGCGTAGAAAACATTGGTACGAGTCGTAAACGACGAACTCTTTTTGGACAAAAGAAGTTTCATGCAGCGTAGTTTGATGATAAATATTAATTCCCACATGTTAAAAGTAATTGGTCTAGACAAAGGCATGCGTTCCAAAAATGATTTTATATTTAGAAAGTCCAGTTATAGCTTAAGGAATGAAATTTGCTACAAAAATAGCAAAGGATTATCAGCTCATGCGGTTTGAATTATCGTTAACAGTCTTTCCTTGAAAATAGCTTTGAATAGGAGTCATACATATATCATTATTTTCTACACTAACGGTTTGTGATTCTCGTAGACCAAATGTATTGATAAACATCACTAAGGGAGGTGATTGCTGTTGATTAATGATGATTTACGGGCTTCTTCTCCCAAAATTGAAGAGAAGTGTCTGCGCTCAAAGTCTAACGGAAGATTCCAATGGAAAAGGGCTAACAATGCCGGCTATTTAAATCCTTCTTAATGAACTAAGCGCTGATAAGGACAGCTGTAAACATCACCTGTTTCAAAGACCTGGGATAAAATTTACAGATTACAGCCATTGTTTTCCAGAGATAATGTTTACAGCCGTAAGTTGACAGCCTAAATTTATTTAGTACAAATTCTATGCTATAACACTGATTAGCAGTTTACGGGTCTTAAGATTCGGCGATCATTCACAAACCCTCTGAGTTGCTAAAAGGTTATTTCAATCTTAGTCAAAAAAATCCACGCCTTCGATATAGTATTTCTATTGTAAGAAACTCGTCTGTGATGCTATTTGAGGTCTAGTTCTTTTTGACTGAGAGAATTAACTACACTAGCTATTCTACCGTTGGATAAGAACGCAACAAGAAGATCTTAACGATAAGACAGACCAGATAATCAGCTGGTTAACAAGACTTTATTCGTCTATAGATACTCTAATTAAGAACGAAAACCCATTAGTGAACGATTAGTTCTCCTAAAGGCTTTTAAAATCAACATTTATTCCCTCCTTTGTATTGTTAATGGAAATACAAATGCACGACAAAATGATATTGAAACACAAATGAAGCAGTTGCGTAAATATTCAGGGTTAAAATTTTGACGAGCACGTACAAAAAGTTACTTTGTAAGGAATAAGAAGATTTTTTACGGGTAGCGGTGTGCTTTGGTGATTTTATTACATTTTCTCGGGTTTCTCCTTTTCATGAATAATGTCTTTCACGTGTATGCAAGTGAACTAAATGGCTTCGACTTAAAGACAATAGTGATACTGATATTCTGTTCAGAACGACCTGCTAACTTTCAAATGGCCCATAAACTTGGATAACAATGGACATCAAACATCAAACTGACAAATTTTGGTTGACCATGAATCGAGAGAAATAGAGATCCTTTACCACATCACCCTTAAATGTGTTTTTTAACTTTTCTTTAACTGCTAGTGGCAGCCAATGATGAAATCCTTCTTTGACTACGGTCTAAAATTTCGACCGGTTTTGTGGAAATAGTAAAGAAGTGCAGAGGTACGAGTCTACTTAGCTCGATTTCAAGGTATTTAAAAACTGATCATAGTTTTCCATTGTTGGGAAGGGCTTCAGAGATTAGCAACTGATGATTATTTGTCAAATAGGTGTGTAGGCTGCGTCGCCATTTGACAATGATGATAGCTTTTTGTTTTTTCTTTTTTTTATCTTTCTTGAATTTCTAAGCGATATATTATTGTTGATCGCGAAAGAAAGGGTTTTAAAAGTGCATATTTGTTTCCCTTGGCCTTTGACTTAGAGTTACAGATCACACAGTGTTCATTAGAACAAAGAAACTTTGCCTAATGGCCATCATTAACGGAGAGGACTCCTAGTCAATTAGAACATGTCATTTTCCTCGCGTCAAACCTCATTGATCATCTTGTTATGTTTAAAAAAAGTGCAATATCTTACCATCTTACAAGACATTTTATTGCAACGTAAGCCAGCTCAAGTCTCGCGCACAAGTCTGGTGGCTCATCTATCACAGCTTTGCCCAAGTTACCGGGAATGAAGTAGCCTTCCGCTACCTCTTTTGGACGCGACATTTTAAGATACCATCGGAAGAAAATGGATTGCCCTGTTTCCTGTTCGCAGGCAAACATTTACCGGCAAATTTTAATTTCTCTATAAAACTGCCGGAATTATTTCTTATCCTGTCTTGCAACTGAAAATAGAAAGAATTTGAGCTATATTCATTCGACAAAGCTGACCGAAAATTCTAAAGCGGAAACTGTTTAAAAAAATAGGAAAAAAAATGTGAAAGACCCTCCGCTGCAAGTGGAAAGAATGGGGCGTACGTGAAAATTTGCAAAGTCGAAGATAATGGCGAAATGAGATAACGGAACAATGTCGTGTATTCACTTATTAGTTACTTAACAGGATCAGAACTGGGAGAATCCTTGAAAAATTAGGAATAAAACGGATTTAGGATCACAGCAACGTAGTTATTAATTAGAAATAATTAATTTGTAAAAAATCGTTTGTTCTTTTAATTAATCTTTTTTTTAAAGAAAAAGATAGTTGCAAAAGCTGTTATCTAAATGTTGCACTCGAAGATATAGACATAAGAGTCGCAGACCGAAGCGAAAGAAAGGATCCATTTCCGAGTATTGTTTTTCGCCAGCTTTGTAGCGAATTGACCCGGCGGCGACATTAAGTGAACTGAAGCGTCCTGAAGGTGGTGTCGGTGGAATGGTTTAATTAGATCATTGTAATCCGTCCTAATCTTGTTCAAATCCATCCATCTGTACGTCTTTCTGGCCCCCCCACAATTTCCTTTGTGATTATTTAACAGTTTTGACTGTTATGGAGAAATTTTTTTTTTAGAAGATCGCCTAATACCATTATATATCTAATGAGGCTTGCAAATACGGCTTAATACGCCGATATCGATCGTCGACAGATAGCCAATCTACTCGAGAAAAACAGCTTGTGTTTGTTTGAAAGTGAAAGAAAATTGTAGTAACCCACAGAGTAAAGGTAAGATTCAGGGTCAGTTTTTTTCTAAAAGAAAAAACTTCCAAATGAATTCAAGTAGTCTTTGCGTTTATTTACCCAAACATTAGGTTGATATTATTATATTTGAAAGCTGATGAACATACAGGTTCGTGGTGTTGTTTGTTATGCTATGAAAGATTGTTATTTGTAAATGAAACCTTGGTGTGACCATGTCGGTGAAAGCTGCTGGAACTGAGGGTAATGCTCACAATTTCTTGGTCTAAAGTCAAAGTTTTAGCAGTGAGTTTTCCTGTCAACAGTGAGCAGTTAACCGTGTAAATGAAGGCAGTGTGGCTATCAGATAATAAAACGTCAAATGTTTATGTTTATTTAATTGTACAAGGAAGTTTTGACTAAGTAGCTATTGATCGCATGACTTTGTGGTTAATTGCAAACTCGTGTAACGCTTGAAGGGAAGTATATGAATCATTGCTTTGTTCAGTACTGCATCGATAAAAACTGAGACATACAGACTTCAGATTTGACGTCGGTGCTTTGGTCGATGTCAGTGGAATTCTATATTTAAAATTTTGCAAAGTGAACCACAAACACGTGCCTTGAAACAAGATAATAGCTATCAGATATGTCCCTGGTGAATTTTGTAATAAAACACTCTACCAGAAAAGACTTGTAACCTTTCGATACTTCCTGTGAAATTCCAAAACGTACGGGGGACATAATTAGTTCACATGAGTTTCATCTTTCGGAAGTTTTACTAAAAAGGAAAATTCCCAGACAGTTTAATTCCACGTCGGGTTTGTAATGAAATTACAGTGGCACTGTTCAGTTTACAAAGAATAAGAGAAAACGTCGTTAGGAGTTGTAAAGCCAGTTGTCTGAACGACCTAATAAATATTCATGCATAAAAGATGAATTGGTATTTCCGGACAAATTCTGTGCACAAACTAAAAAAGAGCGTTAAATAAAAAGCGCTTTAGAACATGTATGAGCATGGATATATATGACTATTTTCACATTTAGACCCTGCTCTCTAGGAGGGGAATCCTATATTGGTATATATTTAACCCCACGGTCGTGCGGAAGTACGTTTGGTCACGTCCGAATCTTATTGATCAGTAAATAAGGAAATTATATTTCAGCTATTTAGCATACGTAGTATCGGGCCATAACGTCGATATCGCATGGTCAATGCATATTAGTGCGGCGGAAGGAAACTGACACAGAGGGTGCAAGATATCTAGGGTCTTTGAACTTTCAGGTAAATTCTGATATGATATTTTCACAGCTGAGGTTTCTGTCTTCGCGGCTCCCTTGAAACAGTGTGCGGGTTAACAAACGCAAAAGTCGCAATTATGTTGTTTACAACATTAACATGTACGACAGAAGTAGTCTTGCGCGGGAGTCACGGACCAAACTTTTAAACAAACCGTAAAATTGGGAAAGTGTTTGCACATTCAATTGAAACTTCTGTCCTCTCCGACTTCATTCGTAAGAGAGTTGTATGGCTGCAATAAGCGACTGAAGTCAATTCGACCTAATATGAACTTGAGTCAGCCAACCACTTAGACCTGTTGCTGATTCATCGCATCATGTTCAAGTTAAAGATAGCGTCTTTCTAACGAGTTGCTATTTCAGGAACAAACATTTTTATAACTTTTCGAGTGTACGTTAGTTTGTATTTGGTCGTAGAAGTAGGCTTGATTCTGAAAGATGTAATCTTTACAGTGCATTAGTTGTCAATCACCGCTCTGTGACGGCGTCAAGACTAGATTTTATCGCAAGATTTTAAAATATTCATCTCTAAAGAAAGACTGTTATCGTAATTAAACATGTATTTCTTTTTCCAGGTCAATCGATTTGAAGCCTGTCGTCGTTTTGAAGCCGTTTGACTGTAAAAGAGCAAGTAGTATGTCAGGTAATAATATTCCAATACCTAATTAGCTGTTAAGATAATAATGTCCAGGACGTACATAATATTCTGCTTACAATATCAATACAATGTCAAGCAGATAAGTGTTGAAAATAAAGAAATAAAACACTATGAGGGCAGTGTTACTTGATCTAATACCAAATTCACATCCGTGAGAATGGTATGGAAGAGAGCATTAGGAGAATTATAAATGCGATCTTGGGTGTTACAAGGTTATGTTGTTTCTTAATCGTATTTTGTAGTGCAGAGCATAGATAAATCAGTCTTTCGTTATTCTTGGTGTTTGTAATAATATCAGCACAACAGAGAAGAGGATACTACTCCAAAGACTGAAAACCTCGTCTACATTGAGAAAGGGTTTCCTCTTACCCCTTTGTCAAAGGTGATACCAAGAAATTGGGCCAAATCATGAAAAATCAACATTAAATCGCTATGATTTGGCGCACCATGTTTGACACAGGGCTTACCATCGGTTAAACACTCACTTTGCGCTGGGCTACACCGTGAGATGCAACAAAACCAAACAAAGAAAGAAACAAACTCTCTGTGGTCCAAAAGCATTGAGCTTTAATCTTATCGCCAGCCTAAATGAAACACTGACTCACTGTATTGCTAATGACCAAATAATCTGTCCTTTAAAGGTTGATTTAAGTAACTTGAATTTATTGTCTAAGACACGGAGCAGAAAGAAGTCGGTATTCTAACTTATATAAGATCTAACGTATATAAGATCTAAGAATATTGATGTTGACTTCAAAGGCAAACAAGGGAAATATTTATTATTGTAGAGTATTTTGATAAAAAATTCGCATATCGTTTAATTGAATATTTCGTTCATTTGACGAAAAAGCGTTCTACATCTATTTATCCAAACAGAGACACGCGAAGATCGTGCTTCAAAATGCAAAGATCACAGACCGTATTTGCGATAGGTCAATGAGGTCTCTGAGGTTTGAAGATTCGAATCATTTATATTTTGACCTGGCCAAAATAGTGAAACTGATACATCCCAGTCGCTGAAAATTGAGGATGTTTTCCGACACCGACTTTTTATTGTTCAAGCGTATCCCCAGTACCATCAAACTTCTTGACTGAATAAACTTCTAAAAAGAAAAAAACAAGATCTTTTCCGGTCGGAAAACTTATCCCTGACAGCCTTGACTCAACAGGTTATAACTATACCATTAACCTTAGGATGGTAGCCGGTACAACTCTTATGTTTTTCCACGAAAGTTTAATACGTTTTTAACGAGATCGTCTTTGCTTAGAGGATCACAATAAGGTTATTACTTTTACGGTTAACATTTGGGCCTTTTAATGGCTTATGATGAACTTCCTTCCGTTTGTGATTAAAAGAAAAACTTTTTTACGGTTCACCCTTTTTACGACTAAAGGCTGAACTTTTTAGCCGTTTCACAGCTAACGGTTAACCTTATTAATTGAAATTCTCTGCTTCACTGATATTTGTTGTTTCTTTTGCTGTTTAGTCCCATTAAGGCCCTAAAAAAGAATCACGAAACTCTTCAGAATAATTCATCAGGATAAGATCTTATATTTACTTCACCCATTGATTAGACAAAGATACAAACCGAATCACTAATTAGCCTGCAAAGAAGTTAAGAACGAATGTACAGAGGCAGAGTTAGTTGCGCTTTGTTGTGAAACAGAACATTGCACATGACTTTACTCTGGCAATAACAAATTAAAATTTGACTCTTTGTAGTTACCAACGAAATAGAAAACGCTGTGGCATTCATTCAAATCGACAATCACTTGAAGATAGATACAAATAATTATCTAAGATTGGTTTAACGTTACAACCTTCTCTGTCTTCATAACCTACAGATTAGTTGCTATATATTAGCTCTTTAGTGTCCGGGGTGGGCCTCATTTAATAAAGATAGCGCGTATGTTGGAAAATTTACGGTATTCCAGTTATCAAGGATTTTACCTCAAGCCAATCTATTTGTAGAAATTGTTTGAATAGGATTAGGAGGAGAGAAGTAAAGATAACGGAATTTAGTACCTGTAGTGGGTACTTCTTTCAGGTAATAGCCGCATTAAAAGCAAAACAATGGATATTTAGGTCCAGTGGACTCTCTGTCAAAGTCAGACAAATAGAGACGTCAGGAGTTGAAGGCCGCGCCTTTACAACAATTGTTTTTAAGTTAGGTTATCAGTCAATCTCACAGACCTGCTAGAGATACGCAATGCACACACGAAGTATAATTTGTAAAGAGTTTAGGCCAATTGGAAAGCCAATTAGTTTTACTAATCAGTCCTTTTCGTGAGTACTATATCGTTAGCGACTATGGGTATCTTAGCAAAGTTAACGCGGCGCCTAAGAATCGTTACCTTTTTTTTTCCCATTAAGCACGAGTACTGGGCTCAGTTAGCCCTTTGTTCGCTATTTGACACTATTTTCAATCTAAATTTTTGTTCCAGTTCAATCAATACCAAACACCGATTACATTTTTTTGGTTGAAAAAAACTGCGACATATCAACGGAAACTGAAACATACTCATGCTGCAGTGCCACCTTAAAAAGAAAATGGTTTGTCGCTCCGATTTGATTGATGCCGTACGCCAAATACATTGCTTTTATTGAAAACCTATATGAAGCATGAAAAACTCTAAAACTGACAAGCGCTTTCATATGCAGGAAGATTTTGTGTTGCAACAACGCCTAAACCAAATGAATGACAAAAACTACTACTTTTTGTTCGTTAGTTTGTTTGGTTTTTAAGGAAGAGTACGCATAAGAGGGTTTATTGAAGAGGAGATCATTTTTAAGAGGGAGCTTATTAGAGAAGGAAACTAGGAGAGAAGGAGAAAATTAGAGAGTGGAATTTCTGAGAGGGGGCCTTTTAGAGAGGAGGGTCATTTAGAGAGGGGGTCTTTTTAGAGAGGGAGGTTTATTAGAGAAAGGGACTAAACAGAGAGAGGGGTAGTTAGAGAGGGAATTTGTTAAAGGAGGTATTTTAAAGGGGGGGGTTTCTTGGAGAGAGGGACTTAATAGAGAGGGATAGTTAGAGGGGGAATTCCTAGAGGGGGAGGTGATTTAGAGAGGAGATTTATTACAGAGGGGGGAATTAACAGGGGGAGGATAATTAGAAAGGAGAACGTAAAAGAAAGAAGGCTTTTTAGGAAGGGGGGCCGGGGGCGGGGGAGCCTTTTAGAATGGGAAGTTCATAGAGAATGGGGATCTTAATACAGTGTTTATATTAAATGCACTAGTTGAAGCTCGATGTCTAAAAAAACTACTTCCAGACCCTAAGTTTCTTTTTTTCTGGAAGTTTGATTTAATAGTCTGACTTTGTATTGCAACGGAATAATTAATTGCAGATCTGATCTGGAGAGCACGTGTGTGGTGCGTTTCTATGGATTCTGTCTTAGACCAAAGCGTGCGCTTTATCATGCCCTCCTTATTAAGGGCTGACCTGTAAAATTAGTTTTAGTGCCTTTACACAACCTCGGCTTCCTTAGCGGTTTCCTCAGAAATTCATTTAAGAGGTTCAAAGTTTGCTATGGGGATCTAGGTCTGGAAAAATCATATCATTGTTAAAAAATGCTCAGTTCCATAACTTGGGGCATAAAAATAAAAAATGCTCTAATCCAGATCAAAATAGATAAAATCATTCCCATTTTTCAGATAATGTCAGCTATAAATAAACTCAGAGAAAAGCTTATTGGCGCCACATGTATTTTTAGACCAAAGAGAGTCCGCACATAAATCTCGGTATGAAAGAATCAACGAGAGCTACGCTGCAAATGGTCTTATTGTCTCTTGCCACCTAATAAGGGTGTCAGCAAGACCCCCAGAAATTACTGAACATGTAGGTTTGTCACGTATATCGTAATACAATTTATCGCATGGTGACGGTTTTGAGAGCATCTTGTAATCTTTTCGCTTTGTTAAGAGAGATAATCTGCCGAAAGACGTCTTCATTAACAAGATGATTGCACCGAGACACCATGGGCTAATCGGCTTGTTAATGGAGACAATACAATGTAGCATTCAGGAAATACACTCAGTCTCGTCTTTAGAATACACCCAAGTTGCCAAATATTGGGAAAAGAGAACCTCCTGACCCACACCAGACTTCTTAACTGAATAAACGTTACATCTATTCTAATCTTTCCGGTAGGAAAATTGCCTCAAAAAGACTGGCCACTAAAATAATGTTAGAAACCGTGTGTATCATGAATGGGTATCTGTAATACAATCTTTCGTTGCTCTTTGAAGTTATTTGTCCCTTATTTAAGGTTAAGTTTGCTGTCAGAGTACATTCACAGAGTTTTGTACAAAACAGAACTAATACAACCTGAACCACCAAACAGAATAGAGATAAATATATTTCAAAGAGCCAATGAGAACTCAAAGAAAACACTCTGAACATGCTAACAGCGCTGGGAAACGAGAGGAAACAGGTCGCCTATGATTTTAATGCTGCATCCTATTTGTTAGGGAAGTAACTCGAAGTTATTTAACGTATTTCATAATGGAGTAAAGAAATGCCTTGGGAGTTACAATCTGGCTTCACTTTGGCGTGATACGCTGCTGAAAATTGCGGAGTTTGTCTGTTTGATACTCAGAATATTCGACAATGTACATGGATGGAGGCACATGTGCTGTTAAAGAGAAGACGCTAACACTTATTTTCTTAGAGCATCTGAATTTATTGCGAAGCACGTTGAGAGAAGATCGCTTTCCCGTTTTCAAATTTTCATCTCTCTTTTTCGATCCTGACGCTCCACGGTTACCAATAGGCCTCAAACTGGAATAAAGTTTTCCTTGGCGAGTTAATTGCCAATATATTAAAGCATTTTTTTTTTCTTTACTTATATCTATGCAGAACACAACAATCCAGAGAAGGAACAGAAACAAACTCGGTACAAAAATACCATACACTTGTGGGAGTTTTTATTGGAACTCCTGGAGGACGAAAGATATATACCGCTAATTTCATGGACAAAGAAAGAGGATGGAGAGTTCAAGATTAAGAGACAAGAGGAAGTTGCCAAAAGATGGGGCCGGCTAAAACAACGAGCAGGGATGAATTATGATAAACTTAGCCGTGCGCTGAGGTATTACTATCAGAAAGGAATCATAAAGAAGGTTAGTCCGCTAATACGGCTCAATTTTATTCCCGTCTTACGCTGGGCGAATATCTGTTGCGTTACAGGGTGATATTTACAAGTGTGTGAAAGGCACGCAGTGACAGAAGGTCATCAAGAGTGATTATGAGTAACAGTGCAGGGTTTGGTCAACACGTTCACTGTCTGCAATATCATTGCAGTATACTCCATTATTATACAAGCCTCGACTCGGCTGTAAACAAATTGTCATGGAGAGTGACACGTTGAGAAAACCTGAAATTCAGCGTAAAGAAAATATAAGCATATTCTAAATGATGCAATCCTCTAATTCACGGTGTTCCAGCGCAAGTAATATACTTTAACAGCTACAAAGTGGAGCGATGCTCTGTTTTGGATTGTAATAATCGCCTGGCGCATTCTTCAAAGCCACGAACCAGTGATAGTTTTAACCCTAGAGCTGGAGGTCTGGACATAGTGAAATGTAGACCAGCGTGGAGCGCGAGCGACACGCGAGGGAACGTGAGGACAACAGCGAGGGAACGCGAGACAACAGCGAGGGAAACGTCGATTAAAAAATTGAATTTGAATTCATAGTAAGAATTTCGTGAATGGCTGGATGTGTTTACTGGCCCTTAGGCGCCACAAGTCAAATTCATTATCACTTATGTGAAGGGGTTTCCATTCTCGGACAACGTAAATTTTGATGATTTCACGTTGTTGTTTGGCAGAGGACGACTAGATTTTCTACAAAGAAACAAAACCAATTTTAATTGCCTGCTTATATCTATTCATTTCGCCATGGCAACGGCACATACGTCAGCTTAACTATCGAAAAAACAAAGTTTGTGTTGTTAACTTGCTTGCTGCCAGTTTTGGCGACCGAGAGATCAAGGGTTTTAGAGAAAATGGTGAAAGAAACAAAGGTATCAAAAACTGTGTTTAGCCACCTTAAACGGACATCTTGCCTTTCTTTTCCTAAGTGAATGAAAGACAATAATTCGGAATGGACAAATTGTGGTTTCGGCCCTGTGTTTCCACACCGATTGTAAGTTAAGCTGTGAGAGGTGTCAGATTCTTAGAAAAGCTAGCTTGCACTCGAAAGGACGCCTTTTTTTGTGAGTGTTTGAGCCAAGCGGAAACATTCCTGAGGTGAGAGCGAGAAGAACGCGAAGGTCGAGTCTCGCAAGAGTCTGTAACGAGGACGTGGTAGAACAAGAAATCTAGTTGGCAGAATAACAGCTCAGCATGTGCATTTTAAAACTTTTTACATTTCTTGGCCGTAAATCATTAGATTCTCTTTATAATTTGCATACAACGAGCTTGTAACGATACTCACTAGTTAACACCATTTTGCTAACAATTTAACAGAGAGATCTTTAATTATACCTTGTTGAATGTTCACTTGATTTTCTAGAATTTCCTTTGTTTAAAATCAATTTTTTTTTAATACTCCAGTTACTTATTTCCTAAAGTATTTTCGTGCCAAATTTCGTGAAATTCTAATGAGTGGTTCACAAGAAATAGGCATATTTCCGAGAAAGCAATTTTCCATTCAATCGCAATTTTTTCACTTACTGCGCATGTGCTGCATTTAACTGGGTTCTTTCGGTAACGACGAAAAAGCTGAGAATTGCTGGGTTCTTTGCACCGTTAACTTTTCTAACATATCTTTGTAATAAAAGATAAAGCCTTCAATACACTGCGCCAACTATAGAGAAAAAATATAGCACAGATAGTGCGGGTACATTTTGAGTAAATAAAATGACCGCTCTATTGACGGCATGTTTGTTTTTTTACGATCCCTGTGGGCGCGCTGAAATGCTTCAGCAAAAGCGCGCGCAAAAACTGTGTTCAGCCACCTTAACCCAATGCTAAATTATGCATAAAATTCTTTGACAAAAGGAAACTTTGTCTTTGAAAGTATTGCTTTGTTTTAGTAGGGTGGGATACAGAAATATTTCCAAAGGTAAATACCTAAGACAAATAGACGAAGAAAAGTGAAAATACCGAATGAAAAATAAAAAGATGAAAGGAAAAACGAAACTTACCGAAGTAGACAAGGGAGACATAGCTTACCCCTTGGTAAACGAGATGAAGGTAAAAGTGAACATGCTCCGAATTACATTTGGCGCGGAATAAAAGCGTGCGACATGAGCACAAATGAAAAGGTGATTACGTCATAGACTAAATAACAGTGAGAAAAATGACCTTGACACTTCAGTTGGAGCATCTGATCAGCATATCATTTGCATTATTATCTCTTTGCCAGGCATTGTGGTGCATTTGGAGTTTTTGGCGGGCTCAATCGTATTTTGGTCCATCCGCATGCTCGCGCGATGGCACTGAAATGTTTTTGAGTTCCTGTTATTTTTTCTGCCCTCTAAAGTGATAATGAAAGTCATACAGTTTATGTTCTTGGGCCTAGATACGTTTTGGGCCCCTCTCAGGGCTCATTTTAACGCTCGCCCAATGGCTTGGGCTAAAAGGAATCGGAATCAGGTCCAAAACATTTATGCCCGTGATCAAAATAAACTCAGTTGTCTCATTTTAACACGTTATCCCATTTTTCTATAGGTACAAGGTCAAAGACTTGTTTACAAATTCCACAAACTTCCTTACGCTTACAAACCGGTAAAGTACAACTGGCCTTGGCGACCACCTGTAGAGGACAACTCCAAACCAGAAAAACCTGATGTCCTTTCCGTTCCGGTTTCCTTGACAACGCACTGGCCTCTGATGTCCATGTTTAACTCAAATAGCCAACCGCAGCATCAGCTGAGCGCGCCAGCGAACCACCTTTACAGTTGTCTTGAGTGTACCCCACGAACCCATGCACCGACAGTTTGTAGAAGCCAGATAATGTTTCCATCATGCAGTTGTAGGGGGTCAGCGGTTTACGGATGCGGATTGCGCATGCTCCACGAACCAAGCTCTGTGCCTGTTCAAGTAATAACGAGATTTGTTTAGCAATGTTTAGCACAGTCGCACGCTTTTGATATCGTTATTTTTCATTTGAATAAATTTCATAACACGATATTAAAAAATTGCCTTCGCTATCGTGTGAACGTTTTCTACAAGAATTGAAGATTAAAAACTAATCTGAGAACGAGAAAATTTCTCGTGAGAACTTGCGACTCAAAGTCTACATGCATGTATTTTACCACGAGATAAAGACTTTTTGTCGAACAAAAGCGACAATAATAAAGTCACTCGAGAAAAAAAAAAGTTGACAGTTTACGGCATGCTCTTTGTTTCTCTCGCCGAAGAGGTCTCAAAGTTTACTGCGCACTCTATTTCAAGAGGGGCCGGATAAATCCTTCCCTTATCTATTCGTAATGTCGTGGGAAAGAGATTGTGGGTCAATTGCTGTTTACTCGTTGCCTGTTCAACGCCAAATTTGGTATTTCAGTGGGGGGCGAATTTCGCGGATATTTCTGGAGTATAAATATCGCGTGATATTTGTGCTCGTCTCGCGCGTTATTTGTACTCTATTAACTAAACCATTCGGCACCTTCGTCAGTCTGTTGACGGTTTACTACCGTTCTATAGTCGAGGACGTCATGACACATTAGGATTAAATTTTACTTCGCTTCACAAAAATATTTGACAATGAAAAACTGCGATAAAATATTATAAAGCATGACACGACGTTTCGACGTTTCCAGAACGTCATTATCAAGTAAACTAAAATAATAAGATAAAAATAATAAAGATGCCCATGGGAACATTGACTTACTCAATGAGAGCCAGTTTAGAATGCTTAAAAAATGCGGCACGAAATGGGATTGTCTTGTTTATGAAATGTTGTACATAAGAACAATAAGGCCCAATTTAAACACCCAGAACGATTCCATTAGGGCTAAACTCTTTGTTTAACTTTTAACGTTTTGTAATTTATTCACCGCTTCATTATATATATGCTCGATTTTATTATTTTAGTTTACTTGATAATGACGTTCTGGAAACGTCGAAACGTCGTGTCATGCTTTATAATATTTTATCGCAGTTTTTCATTGTCAAATGTTTTACCAAATCTTTACTTATTCGAATTCACAAAAATAGCCGATGAATTTGGGAGATCAAATCTAATTGCTCGAGCCTGTTTTTCGTTTTCATTATGAACGCCAATGATGAACGTGCACGCATTAAAGCGTAGGAAAGGAACTTTCTCGCAATAATAATTTCAAACTGACGCTTTGATGATACTTTCAGACAATAGATTCAAGCCTCAGGTGTGCGTTAATTGAAGTATGAAGTATGTGATAATCTTGGAGAGCATTCGGGAAGAAGTTGTTTTTCAGTTGCGTATAGATCAATGTTTACCGCATCTTCCGCGTTCGTCAAACTTCCCGCGTGCTTCCTAAATCGATGAACACATGCTGATGCATGAAACAATGTTCAGGTCTTTCCGGTGGGTGTAAGGAATCCACCTCCCTACATAACAGATTCTGTTAATTGTTAAACGTTTTCGTTGCTCCCACTTTGAGTCATAACATGATTTATCTGGAAGTGTGCGTATGACATATTTGTCACATTAAGTGAAATGCTTAGGATTGAGTATCATCTGAAATGTTGAGGCACCTGAAGGCTTTGTATACCTTGGGTGGCAAAGAAGATGAAACACACTACGGTGAGTACGACCTTTTTCCTGCTTGTGAAGACAGAATACACAGAAACACTTAATTTAATTTGCGTTTCTTCGTTTCTGATAAGCCTTCGATTCCTTCCGTAATCCGCGCTCAGAGCCAGTTAGATTAACTTACTTAATCTAAACACGCAAATCTGTTGTTTACCTTAAGATTCTGCCGTTCGCTAATGCAACAAAATAGAAAATTTATTCCTCAAATTTTTGCATCCGCTACAATTTTGTACTCAAGGCAATGGAGTTGAATTTCAGTTTCTCCTTTTTTTCTTTGGAAACTAGTATTACCCTTGAATTAGCCAGTCAGTGCGATCTTACATCGATTAAAATTGACTAATATGAAGTGTTGAAGTGTTTAGTAATCAGCTTTGCGCGAGTAGAATCGTTCTGTTTGATCAATTTTCAGGCTTAAGATCCCGAATAAAAAACATTTCGAAAATCAAACAGTCGAACTTGGTTGAGCGTTTCCTCTTGACCCTAAAGTTCTTTGCGATTTCATATGGTTCGATTCCATGCTCTCTTACATGGTTGCAGATTACTGATCGTTTATGTTCCTCCACACGTTGATGTAGGTGTCGGCTTGTGAAGCCGACATAATCTGTATCAAGGCTCGAAACGTCAGCTTTTGTAATCGTTACGGTGGCCAATTTACCATTTCAACTTTGTTGATATATCCAAATAATCTGTATCACACAGATCACACTTAAAGAGATATACAACGTTTTGCTGGTTGATAATTGGAGGTTTAAGTTCCTTAACTTTGAGTTCATCTTTTTATTTATTTATTTATCTATTTTTTTATTCGGGACCTTAAGCCAAAATTGAACAAACAGAGCGATTCTATTTGCGCAAAGCTGTTTGCTTAACACTTCGTTTTAATTAATTTTCATCCTTTTCACCGCTTATTTACACTTCATTTTTATACTTTGTTATTAGTTATTAGCTCTATTGTTTATACGTAAATACTTAGCTTTTACCTTCATCCCATTGTTTCAGAAATTGTATATACTCATGAACTCTAACTTGACCGTGGAGCGGTCGAAACGTCGCTCATATTTTTTATCGCTCGTTTTTATCACTAAATGAGTAAAAGAACGGGCGAAAAACAATCGGCGATTGTGGCCGTCAGGTCGAGAAGTAACTCCGGCTATGAATTCCTTTTTCCTTGGGTGACCCCAGCCAATTAAGTTCCGCGCGCACGCTTTGTGGCTCGTTTCCCTTCACTAAGAGTCTGCCGCAAGCTGAACTCAAGGATGATGAAGTATGTATCCGTTGCCTCGAATCAAGAAAATCATGGCCACACACGCACTGATACACAAACCCACGTAAGCTTGTTGTATATGGCGATACTTGGACTGCGGGTTTTCAGTGACGCTGATTGAATTGACTTAACTGAATTGAAGAAAAAAATTATGTCGAAACGAGTTTCTCTCTTCCATTTTGAAGAAAATCTTTCATTTTTAAATTTCGCAGTCTTGTTTCTTCTTTCTCAACTACTATCTCTGTTGCGTTCAGTTTGTCTGCTCCGGCAAATTATTATCTAAAACTTCACCATTGTTTTCTGAGGAAATATGAAACTCCGTTTAAAGCGACTGAGACTATCTTGATGCAACTTCTTCAAAATAATATCTTAAATGAGTGTAGGCAAACCGCAAAGAGGAAACACAAAACACCAAACAGGAAAGAGCTAAGGACTTCCTTTGAATGATCTACGTACGATTACGTCATCTTTCCTAAAGTTTCCTTTCGCCCACATTGCGGCATGTGCTTCATGCATATGGCCAGAACAAACCTACGCTCTCAGTTCCCGAAAGGGCTGTGGAGCGACGTTTAAAATCCTCCCTCTGTGATGCTATGAATTTCCTTCAGTACGAGGGAAACCACCACGAATTTGTTTGATAAGGTAGAAAAAGTAAAGCCCGGAACAAAGGGTGCACAGCAGCTTTTCATGAATTGAACCAAGTACATGAAAAGTTCGTCAAATCAATCAATTAGTAACAACTACTTCAATTTGGAATGCATCAGCAGCCGGTAGCAGCGTTGTTTCCGTTCGGCTCAGCGGCTGAGAACTTTGTCCCCAAAACAGCTTTGTAACGTTTTTTATTCAGTTAACTATTCACGTGCCGAGCCGAATGCAATCATTTCAACGTATTTTAAGCAGTTTCACCTTGAACTTTACTTCGAAAGGCTGTTGGATAATTAGTTTAGTTAAGCTTAGGAATCAAATACTCCACTTTTTCAAATTAATATTGGTCGGTCCAAACTCAAATTAAAATTAGCTCATGAAATGTTTGGCTTCTTATCAACTTTACCTTGGGGTTATATATCAAAAGGGAAAGAATGAGAGAAATGATAAAGAAGATTAAAACGGATGAGAAATAAATAACTTAAAAAGTTCAAGGCTAAAACATTTTCTCAGATATCCAGACCGCGATGTATATCTTCAATCATCCACGCTGTTTCACAGAGGGCGGCTACCGTTAATGTAAGAAAATGTATAAAACACGTGCTCAGTCAGTGCATTGCTCATAAATTATTGTTGAGGTTCACCGATAGGTTAGAGTCATGTGGTTGAAGATTTTTCCAGACGCTGTTATTCTTATCATGTATTATGATGTTTGCAGTGATACAGTTACAAGATACCTGGCGTTAAGCGATCACATGGAGGGTCGGTGTTTAGGACCGTGGAGACGAACAAACAGGGGAGGTCTAATGAGACGACAGAAAATCTATTTTAAGGTTTGGTAAAGAATTCAAGGTCATTTCTTTTATTACAAACCTATCCAACTAAGAGCGTACATGCTAGAAAACCATTTTTTCTCTGGAGTTCTGAGATTATTTTTATTTCAAATAACAAACAAATTCGCCACCCAGGGTAAATTTTGACTCATTTGAGGGGATGTGTCGTTAAAACTAGCTCAATCATGCATGCCAATACAAACATCTCGATATCAAATTCTTTGAAAATGCAAACTGGGTAGGACAAACAGAAAAAAGAAATAAAAAGATTCCAGGGCAAATTTATCATTGATAATCTAATATTAACACCTCGTTTTGAACAACAAAGTGATTTGATAAAACACGTGTAAATATCAATTCTCTCATCAAGTTTACCCCCCGTTACGGCGACCTGTAGTATATCGATATTTTAAAGTATTATCATATTACTGCATCACCAAGATTTATTTCGCAGTCAATAAGAACTATGGAAAAACTAGGTAAAACTGCAGTTTTTTTTTTTTTTCAAATAAAATTCGCCTTTAATGAGTTCTTAATACCATCGTGATCGTCATCTCCGTAACGAGGAATATTTCTATCTACCATTTACAGCACTTTGTCATGCTGCGCGCTATCACCGAGAGAGAGAAACGCCATTTTAGCCTTTACCAACGGAATCTTGCCGATTCAAACTTGTTTTAATAGACCTTTAAAATGAAGAAATATTTTCAATGTTTTTGCTCAGTAAATTTTCAACAACTTCCCTCAAACATTGTTTCACCTTGACACGTGTTTTTTCACAAAAGCTACCACAGCGTTTTAGGAACCAAATCCCATAAAAAACTTTGAACGTTTCATAAATATTTAACCTAAAATGATGCTATTGTTGCACTATTTGGAGAGTTTTAAAGTACCTGAGGTGATCCAAGCACATGGGAGGCTGCTTGGATACCGTGGAGACGAACTGACGAGGGATGTTGGATTGGACAATAGGGATATTAGTTGGCTCTTCCCCCTCACTAATTCTTTTGAAATCAGTTGAAATAATTCTAGATCCCTTGAGTATTACAATGTAGCAAGGATTGACTGCAGGTGCCAAAGAGACGAAAAAAAATCCTAGGTTTTTAATTTCGTTTTTCTTCTTCATACAAGTGAAAATAACATAGAACTCAGTGAGACCACTGTCGTAAATAGTATCGAATCGACCACATGCGCTAAGTTGCATGAATTTCATAGATTTTTTTAAGTTCTTTTATCTCTTCATACAAGTGATAATAACATATAACACCGTGACAATATTGTTAAATTTGAAAGCCATATGTGTTTGAAAATAGATTTATACTCTTTCCTATGAAACTCAGAAAACCGTGAGCGCTAGACATATTTATGGAATGTTGTTTCCCAAGTAAAAGCCAGTTATGCATGAGAAACATGGAATATTGTCGCCAATAACAGGCAGCCCAAGTTCCAATGGTGAGATGATCATCTTGCGCAATAACAGTCATGGTGGAATTATAAGAGTTTGTACATGATGGGAAAACCTCGAAATGGACAACTCGCTAAAATGGGTTCTTTTCATCAAAGTAAGCCGTCAGATAGCAAGCGATACACTGTGGAAGTAAGGTGAGGTGCTTTTATTTAGAATTTGACGTATTTTTTTATTCCTCAGAGCGGTCGTAAATATTCCTATACAAACTTTTATAATTCAGTCATGACTGTTATTGCACAAGATGATCATCCGACAGCTGGAGCTTGCGCCGCCTGTGCGCTAATAAAATTTCCTTTGAGTACCTTTTTCACATCGCTTCAAAAAAAAAAAAATGCGAAAAGTAATTTGGAAATCAAAAAAAGATTGCGCATGTTGAAATGATGATTCTGAACAAAACTTTTAACCGATTATAGAAGCTATTTGGATCATTTTGTTGTTTTAGTGTATTGTGATTCATTTTGGCGTAACAGTTATTGACACTAACTCAGTATAGATTACTGAAGACCACGTCATTGCGATCTGCGGATGATGGCAGTTTGGAACTCAAAGAAAAAAAATAGTACAAACTTACAGTTAATTCTACTTTAATGTCCTCATCATATTTTCCATAAGGGTTTCAGAACTCCTCTGGGAGACCAACGATAAGTGTTTTTCAGAATATTGTAGCCACTTCACCATGATGAAAAGACCCACAAAAAACACTTTGGAGACCTACCGTCTTAGCAAGACAAAATGTTCTTTAGAGCACTTCAAGACAAATTTATACAATCGTGCAAATTTCATTAAGGCGGTTTTTCATACCCTTGGGGAAATTCTTCCGGCGAAGGTAGTATTCTCGAATGCTCTTCCAAAATTTTGCTACACGTGGCCTGTTCTTCACCCTCTCTTGTGCAGCCTTTTTCCAAAAACACAATTTGGTTTTCTAGCGTTAAAAACTCTTTACCGGGTGACCCGGCCGATTTACGTTATCAACTTAGTTGATAAAACTAAATTGTCTAGTAATACCCCCCACCGACGTAGCATCACAGTTTCTTCAGAAATTTACCCCTTTTTCCCAAAAAGCCTCATGAAATATTCAAATTAAAATATTGCTATTGTTGCAATCACAGGTTTGAAGCATCTGGAACTACCTGCAGGTTGCAGAACTCATAAACGGAGCGTCTGGCGGCGATGGAGAGGGACTGACAGGAAATGTCACTTATGACAACATGATCCCTAAACCAGCCACCTCTTTAACTCATCCTTTATGATCTTTTGGAAAAGTCCAACTGGATACAGTTAAGATTGAGCGTCAACTTAGGCAACATCTCCAGCATATCAGAGACCTCCTCAGTTCCCCCTGCTAAAAGGGGATCTTCATCGGACAGCTATGGCTGACAACATTTCGCTGACGAGAATGAGGAAAATAAAACAGCAGGGTGAGATTTATAATTCATTGTTACCCATCCTTGAGTTCCACTCAACAGTTTTTTAAAGAAGAACCCTTGCTACGGCTTGTGCTGGCATCTTGAAATACTGAGGCTATCTATATGGCGAGGTAATCTCGTGGCAATCCGTGTGAATGCTTTTAATCCTTAAATATCCTTTTTACTTCTTGAATTTATTCTTGCTCTTTGGAGTTTTTATACCCCTGGAAACTATCATTTCACGTTTTTTATCCCAATCAGCCGCAATTTGAATGCCCCAAACAACCAAACTTTAAAAGAAATGCTATTCATTTTGACACATCCTTATTCCCTCTTGACGTTATCTTACACATCCGGTGTCTTTACACCCTCTTTAACGATTTATTTCGTGTTTTCACCTGAATTAGCTGCTATTTAAATGATCCAAACTAAAAACCAAGAATAAATCTGCGAGGTTTCTCTTTTAAACCAATTGCAATCAGCAAGCATAATGACCGTTTGAAAATGAGTCTAAAACTAGGTTTTGCTGCCACATCAACTTCATCGACCGTTTCCTTCATTCCAATTTAGATTATCAACACAGTTGATAAAACTACACCATCCAGCGTTCCAGTTAAGTTTGTTTACGGAATGGCAGCAGTGTACTTGAGGGTTCATCACCAGCTCGGGAATTTTTTCAACCTTCTTATTTGTTTTGAAAGAGACAACTCAGCAAAGAGGTCTACAAAGGATTCAACATGGGGACTCAGAACTTTTCTTTGTGTCACGCTCGTGACAAGACGAAAAACATCTCTATTTTTTGTTTTCGTGTTTAAAACTTTTCACAGAGGGAATCTAAATGTAGACCACTAACAGTCACCACTAGGCGTCAAGATCTAACCCTATCGTAAGGGGAAACTGCTTATCGACTTGTTCGCCCGCCCTTCTGAAAACAATTGAAGCTGAAAAATTTTCTGCAAACTCTGAAATTTCCATTTTTTTAGTTGCCGTTGCCTGGAACTGTCCCAAAAGAAAGGGTAACCTAACTTGGAAAAAGTTTTAAAATTCTTACTGGACTTCGTGATTTGAACTTTAAGAAAAAGGTAGAGGAAAGCTTTTTGCATTTAGAGGGGGGAGATAGTCGCACGATTAGTTCTGTTTCAGTTTCCCACAATGATCATCTCTGAATCATTCGATGTTCTTGCCGACTAACTTCGTACAAAATTTATCTTTCATTAGTTGAAGGTCAAGTTGGAGACCAAGTCACCTCAAGCAGAAGTGAATTATCGCGCCAAAAACCACGCTACAGAAACATTGTTCACTTGTGGGAATTCTTACTGGAACTTCTAGCATACGGCCACCAAAGTTCATCAATTATAGCCTGGAACAGAAAGGAGCATCGAGAGTTTGTGCTGAAAAATCCAGAGGAAGTGGCAAAACTGTGGGGTGCCTATAAAAATGTGCCGGAAATGACTTACGCGAAGCTCAGTCGAGCTCTGCGACATTACTACAAGAAGGGAATCATTAAAAAGGTAAGGTAAACTAACATGGTCCTTTACTAAAGATGCCAAACACACTGAGGGTCGTAACTCATCGTATTTACAACAACGTGTTATTCTTTGCGAGTTGCTGTCACTTCGGCGACACGGAGGACCAAGAAAAAATGGTGTGTTTAAAAATATGAAATTACAATTGTCTGAAAATTATGTTCACCGTCAAGAATGGCGCCAGGCCTGTTCTTTTGATATCACGCTGGGGCTGTGTTGAGTTAGACAGAGAGTGGTTGATCTTCAATCCAAATAGTTCTTACACGCAAAGACTCAACCCTCATAAAATTTGGTAATTTTTTCTTCTTAATTTTCTAAAGGACGGCAAAGAAAAAAAAATCCTAAGTTGAGAAAAGCAATTTAATTAATAAGCAAAAAGTTCTGGAAATGCTTTTGTCGCCGCTTTTTTCCTATTGTAGACGCTGTCTTTGTTCCTTTAGAAGCTCTCACAAAGGCGAGAATATCGATGTCAAAAATCCAAAAGAAAAAAAATGACACATGTAGTCCATTACATGGTGTTTTAAGGAGTCTCGTGCAATCTAAAGCTCTCGTGTTAATTAAATTCTCTTTGCTTTTTCTTAAAGTCAAATAAGAATAAGAATCACTGTAACATGCTAATTAATTCTATTGTAAACTGGCGAAAAAGCTGTCTGTAACACTATACGGTTTCTCTTTCCCATTGGCGTGTATCGATTCGTCTATTTGCTTTTCTTACAAAGGCCTTTCAACTGCCTGTTTAGGGGCTAAAGCATTTGAATTTAATAAGAAATGACTTGAAGATATTTCATGTGGCTATTGCTGCATTTTCTTATCTTTTGTTTTCGTTTCTCACAGGTTGCAGGCCTCAGATTGTGCTACCAGTTTGGTAACTTGCCCTATAAATATGAACCTGGTGTCACAAGGTCTCGCTATCACGGATACAGGCTCAATGAATGCATCCAAAAGCAACTCAGAACAAAAGAGTTTGCATCTTTCCAATCTGTAATTCGTGGTTGTCACGTATCGTCGGCCTGTGTTCCCATCAGCTACCCCCTAGGGAAAAGATGCTGCTGCCAGACACCAAGACTCGCGCCTCCTTGTTCGATGATGTGGTTTTCAGATCCCTTACATTCCCTTTCACCTTTTCCCGAGGTCATGTTTCCCACAAGGGTCGATTCAATGAAGCCATTCCTATTGCCTTCTAGTCACAGCCCTTTTTAAAGGAACATGAAGGAATCAGGGTAGCCAACTTATCGGCCAAAAAAAAAAGGTTTTTCTGCTTCATTTTCCCAATCCTGTTTCTTCTTTTCAACAGAACTGCTACGTTTTATTCGTCAAAAGTGTAATGGAAATAAATAAATAAATAAATAAATAAATAAAAATTTACCGATTTATAGTTTTTCGAACTGAATTACGCAGGTGAGCTATTGTCCCCAGGGAAAGTAATGGTAATGTGACTGATGTTACTCGAACTCACGCGAGGCAATGGAAACGGGAAGAGATTGCAGACGTCTTTCACCCCTCTACGCGCTTTTGCGGCCCACTCTTGTCGTTTATCAAACATTGCAACTCTGCAAACGATCGAAACCATAAAAAAAACTCGCGCTCCTTAAGCAAAATACTGCCGAGACAATTTCCAGCCTTGCCCTATTCAAAACGTTTAGTTTGCTAACCGAAATACGCAAAGAACTTCAAGGGAAAATGAAACAAGTTTGAGAGAGATATGTCATTAGTGGAGAAAGAGCGAACAATAGTAGTTTTTTCAGTTTTGTAATCATCAAACTAAAAAGACTTGAAAGTAAGTGCTTAGAACTGAAAATACCATTTCTATGCGTTCAAAATCGACTTTCTTTCAATAGGTCATATAAAACGCCGTGTAGTTTATTCCAGAAGTTTCACATGCTACACAGACACTAGTGGAGAGTTCTTTGATTTGCCTGGAAGACTATTTATAAGAAATAATTTAAATATATTAAGAAATTTGAAATGGTAAATTGGCCACCGTTACGATTGTAAAAGCACAGACAACCCACAATTCCTCCATTCGCTCCGACGAAGGGCTAACGCTCGAAACGTCAGCTTTTATAATCGTAAAGGTGGCCAATTTAACATTTTAACTTTGTTGATATATTTAAATTATTTCGTTACCCCCACCGACGCAGCCCCAAACAGTTTCTTTAGAAACTATCAGCATTTATTATTTATAAGAAAATCACGTTTAATGGTTGTATTCAACCCTTCGAATCGCAAGGACTCATTAGGAATTCTCTTTACGGTCTGCCATAGAATTCTTATGATGTCCCTTCGGAGAATTTTATGTTGGATCAGCTAATAATCCCCTAATTGATATTTTTCTTTATTCTCGTCACTTGTTTGCTTGATATCATATTAATAATGTAAGGAAGTTGTTTCTTTGTCACTCACGGGAGAAAACGGCTCAAGTTAAGCCTCCTGGAAAATTTTTTTTTATTGGAGGGGTGGGGTAGGCGGTTTTGGACGTCAGGTAAAATACCGCTTCATAAAAAAAGATGTAAAATATACATTGTTAGTGATTATTTAGTCTTCGACAAAAGGCGACAACGGAAGAGATTATTTGTTTGCTCGCTTACGCACAAGAACCAAGAACCGTAAGACTTGGAGCCGGACTAATACGATAACGAGTTACGTATGATGCACGATCCTTGCAGTAGAGAGCGCTATTTATGCAATAGCGAAAATCAGACCTGAAAAAATTCAGGCCTGTACGGGATTCGAACCACTGACCTCTGCGATACTAGTGCAGCGCTCTACCAATTCAGCTAACAAGCCAACTGGGAGCATGCCGTTAAGTTGATTCGTAATAAACCCGTGATGATAAATCAGATACAATGAATACTGCGAGGATCGTGCATCATACGTATCTACAACCGCAGTTCAAAATATATGAACTTCATATATTCATTGTGTAAGATAACGTTTCTCGGTGGTTATATAGGTTTTAAGTTTTATTTTGTTCAGCTTTATTTTGAATTGCATACATCAAAAGATAGCTATTTTGATGATTAAAAATTTGTCCCTTGACAATCGTTTGAGGCAACTCGTTTTATTACTGGCACCGGGATAGACTTAGCTATATTCAGTTTATTTCGCTTCGGGATAAGTACGGGGGGGATCGTAGTTTTCAATTCATTTCTACAAAGGTTTGAAATATTGCGTTTTGTTTGGTTACCAGGTTCTTCTGTCTCTCGATTCGCTTGAGTGGTATCGGCAGATATGGGCACAAGACAAGGGGATACACATGTCCCTTGGGAGGTGTGGGTAGGGGAAAGTGTTGACTGCCCAGATGAAGACGAGAATACTGACTGTTCACCTTTATGTGATGCACACTTATCAGATGACATTTTCTCTCGTACTCTGTCGCATGTACTCGTTTTTCCTTTTTGGTCACTTGACTGTGACACTCTTGGTTCATATTTGTAAGGTAGATTGTCAAACTTGTACGTGAAGGGTTGGCCAGGAACCTGCGAAAATGAAATAGATAAATAGAGAAATAAAAAAGATATATACATGTAGATACATCATCAGCCTGACATACGTACAATCTTACAGTTTTTAAGAATGATAAAAAATGAGTCGCCCAATGCGTTAAAAAAAAAATGAGTCGCCCAATGGGTTAAAAAAAAAAAAATGTACTTCGTGATTACTAGTACCAGAAGTGAGCTCACAAAGTAATTTGTTCTCATAAACCTGATCCAAACCTTTACAAAGCAGTTTGCAGGTTCAGCGTAAGAGTTGTGCCGGGCAAACACAACTCTGTGTTTGACGCAGTTTCCGAGATACAAAATGCAGTCTAAAATGTTCTAGAGATAAAGCTAAACATTAAAGGTGACTATCGATAGCTGATCTAATGTATAAAACAAATATATTTATTTTACTGATAATAAGATTTAAAAGTTTCATGTTAAGCAGAAGATACAACCCTTGCAGCTGTCTTCTCTTCGTTAAATCTTTGCCACGAATGCGCCCTTTTTTTTCCACTAAAAAATAATTACAATATCGAGCAGAAAGGTGACGAGAATAAAGAAAGAGATCAACTTGGTAATTCGTATTTCATTAAAGGCCAAATTCTCTGAATTACTACTATGAATGGTCTATGTATGGTAAGGAGAATTGCCATTGTGATCTTGGGAATGAAAGAGTAATGTTAAGGGCACATAAAAATTGAGAATGGATAAACAATGCACAACTGGCTCTCAAAATAGCAGTCATAGTTTTTCGCAATTTAAACTGGACAAATCTATGATCTGTTGGCCAAGTCTAATCCCCCGACACCGTTTGTATCAAAATTCATGTGTCACAGTCTGGTAAACGAGATGCTGTAAAACATTTTATTTTAGGTTAACCCCTTCAACTGACTCGTGAGAGGTACAGTGTAGTTGCCTTTTTTTAAAAAAAAAAAAATTAACTGAAACTTAAATTCAACATGCAAAGGTTTGTCAGTTTAGGGACTGGTGGTACTACCATTGGAAATTGTTACTCTCTATCATGGAAAAAACATCTTCGTGGTGTCACAGAGCTAAAGGGAAAGTCAAGAATTGGTTGATCCAATATCAATCCAATGCACCGAAAATTTACCAGAAGATTCCATGTACTATTCCTTGTTATTGCTCATGGAATGTATTTGCTCACTTAGTTTCCCAGTTACGTGGTGATTCCAGGTCACTGCAAAAGTTTGTCAATTTGAGAGCAGATACCGACTGTACCATATTAGAAATTCGCCACTCAGGGTAAATTTTGACTCATTTGAGGCGATGTGTCGTTTACACTAGCTCAATGCATGCCAATACAATCACCTCCATATGAAATTCTTTGAAAATGCAAACTGGGTAAGACACTGACAGTTAAATAGAAATAAATAGCAGTTTGTCAATTTGAGAGCAGATACCGACTGTACCATTACGTAGTCCTTGTAAATACAGCAAAAGTTATATATTGGTTCATTCCTTTCAAAATTTTAACTCACTTTACCATGGGATGCATTTCATTCAATCACACCCTTATAGAAAAGAGCTGATTACATAAGTACACTTGCAACTCATTGTACCAGGCCTGGGGATTCCTATCCTCTAAAGCTACGATATGAACCCTATGCTCTACGTGTTCCATGCTACAACATGCTTAGAGATTACAAAGGTGCAACAGGTCATAAAGTGAATTAATCAAACATCACATTGTTCACATAGCCATCAACAACAAACAAATGAATTACTAAATTATATTACATTAATAGCCATATCATATCTATGGGGTTAAATTTCTCAAATTCTTCCATGTTTTACTAGGCTTATGGCTAAGTTAAAAAAAATTGAGACGGAAATATACATTTACATGGGGAACATAGTTACTCAGTTTGGTAAGAATCGGGCAGCAATTTGTTGTAAATACAAAATATTATTAATTATCAATAGATTATTTTTGTATAAATACTCTATAATTAATTTCAATATACAAAGTTGTTTATGATGAATAAATCATATGCAACCTAATTGAATATATAGTTGGCATCTTTAATATGGAATGTTGTTAGTATGGTTTACTCTGGTATGAGAGCTGGTGTAACTACCAATCTTGTAATCTTGTAAGTAATGTTGTGGTGTGAAAAGTCGCAAATGGTATTATCTATTCAGTACGGAAGTATTATTGTTGCTGTAGAAATAAATTAAAAAAAAAAAAATATCAGCAGCGACAACAAAGGATACAGATACTAATCTTTGTTACATTTACAGAACCATACATTGCCTGGTAAAAACAAGCAATGCTCTCTCTACAAGGTCTATTTTGGTATGACCAAGCAACTGTTTCTGCTGACCAAGTAAGCTTCAAAATAATCATTTATGGTAACGAGTTAACACATTCATCAGCTGACAGTACTTGATGACCATACTAACCTTTTGAACTATTCCCTGGCCATAATAGAACCGTAAAGCTCGACCGAGTTTCTTATAATTCATTCCCTGCCTTCGTTTAACCAGACCCCACCTTCTTGCAACCTCCTCAGGTCTTAACAGTTTAAATTCTTGAAATTCTCTTCGACTCCAATATATTATGGTTCTTAAATCATCGTTTGCCAGGAGATCGAGTAAAAATTCCCACAAGCGGATGGTGTTCTTATGCCGACGTTTTCTTCCCTCTGACTTTCCAGTTCCATCTCTACGAGTTGATTTGTTCGTCAGTTCGATTTCCAAAGGTGACTCTGTGGCTTCTTTGCAAATAGCAGTGGTTTAGAGAATAAGAGAGAGACAAGAACTTAAAATCAGAGTTATTTCATTTAATTTTGCTTTTATGTTGGAAGGCGCAGCATCCACACTTAAATCGAAAATGGAAAAGCTGTGTTTGCATGAGTCATTATCATTTTAGTTTCATTTGGAGCTCTTTTTGGATAATTTTCATCCATCAGATGATCACTTGTAAAGAGAAAAATCAGCTTAATCATGATTATCTAACGTCAAGATTGAGTACCCGGTTTCATTCGATTCTGCGTCACCATTAAATAACTGCAGTCTTTCTTTTGTATGTCTTCACACGCTCATTCTGAGAACAATACGCAAGCCACTAAAATTCGGCTAAAATTCGGCTAAAATTCGGCTAAAATTCGGCTTACATTCGGCTAAAATTCGGCTAAAATTCGGCTTACATTTACGGCTCGGCCTACGACACTGAGACGTGTGCCTATTTGTTAATTTACCATAAGTCTAACGAAAAACGTATTGTGGTTGTGAATGATACTATTTATGAATGACTGATAGAGCACTTTATTATTTAATGGAAACTTAGACTGTTCGTTATTATTTCACTCAGCTAACGACAATGAATTATCTCAACTTGATTTTTCGGGAAGCTCTCAACCTGAAATTCGGGATGAATCCCTATTTAAAATAGCAACAAAGTGATCTGTTTACAAGTCTGAAAACAAGCTTATTTCATTAATTGTTTATACCAGCACTTGTTACGAATGATTAGCCAGTCATGCCTACCATCCACAAAACTTGTGACAAGTTTTTTGAAAAGCTCTTTAAACCTTTTAATTTTTCCTCCTAAATCGTTATCTTTTATGATACCTGAAAAGGATATGAATGCAGCGAATATTCATTTGTTGTTCTTGTGAAAATATTTTCGCGAGTTCTTTGTAATATCTTTGGGCGTTCTGCACGATGTATCGAGTCAAATGCATTATAATCTCCGGTAAAGCAGAAAGAACTCTCCGCGTATTTAAGAATTAAACCTTAAAAATAGTTTCTAGAGCTAGAAGGTCAGTTGTTAATTTTGAACGCCTCAAGTATTCATTCGGTAAAAAAAAATTTAAGCAAAGTTTTACCTGCCGTTGTACACGCCATTTCGGCTGACCCTCTACCGTCCCAAGGGGGTGTCGTTCCTCACTCACTTTCACATGGAAACGAAACGGACTACAGCTGAGGAAGAAGTTTCAGCTCTGCATATTTAATTTCAGTTAACGATATTTGCATCTTGCAGCTCTATTTAACCATGACTAACAACAAAGGAAGTTTCATGGTCTAAAAAAAGGAATATATATACTTCCTCTCGAAATTTGACGGTATTATTTTCCTCCAGGGACTTCCGGTAGCAAACACGGCGTGATAGACGAGAAAATTTTGTCATCCAGAAGGTTATAAAATAAATCGCAGAAATAAGATGGCTTTTCTTCAACTTGACCTTCAAATTATTATGAAAGATTTGTTTTTCTGGTATGGTTTTCATATTTGTTTATTGGGAATCTTACCGAACCGAAATATTTGCACGGTCTCGGAGGTCGTGATCTTCACCTTAAGGCGCTTTTCAATAGCGCAGTGTCCTGACCGAGTGATCTTCGAGCAGTGAAAGGGATATTCTGAGGTAAAAGAAAATATAATGAACTTTTTCCAAGTATTATTTGGCTTTGAATCCTTTTGAACAGTGAAAGAGAAAGAAAAAGATTTAGAGCCGAAAAAAAACAATAAATAGGACCGGAAGCCGGAAGCTGGACACCGGATGTTGTTTCATTCAAATTGCCTTTGGAAGTGAATAACAATTGTGAAACTCATACCAAAGGTTCTGCAGCAGTTGTCTATCCTTCCGGAAGCACAAGCACTAGCTTTCAATGTTATTTTACTCAGTATACACATTTGAGGAGAAAGCTGTCGGGCTGATACTGACTTGACTTATTTGTGTTGACTGCGCAGCACTGGGTATGAGAGAGGGGATGATACTCTTTCCCAGAGGGATGTGGACACGTGACAGTGTTGACTGCTCAAATGAAGACGAGAATACCGATTGTTTACAGAAACAGGACGTAGATTTATCAAAAATACTTCGTTTTGTTCTTGGTCGCACGAACTCAATTTGGAATCTTTATTTCTTGCTTGTGAAACTTCTGGCTCGTATCTGTAAAGTAGTTTATCGAACTTGTACGTAAACTGCTGGCCAGGAACCTACGAGAACATGAAATTAAATAATCTATAGATGAATTATGAAATAGATGGCCAGAAACGACTGATATCCTCAGCTTGTGATTGAAAACCATTCCTTTATGTCACAATAATAACTTCACCATAAATTTACTTACGATAGCTGTCTTGAGAGTTCGTTTCAAAATGTGTACGAAGACGATCGAAGTCTAATTTACTTAATTTTAAATCAACCTATGAAACAATTTTCATCATGTCAACCTAAATACGATCCAAGAGGCCAAGTAGCAAACACCAAAATCATTAAAACCAACCAACCACGATATGATCCAGAACTCAAGTAGCAAACGACAAAATTATTATAACCAACCAACCAACGTGACGATAAGATCTATGAACTCAAGTAGCAAACACCAAGATTACTACAACCAACCAACCCCGATAAGATTCATGAATCAACTCAAGTAGCAAACGCAAAAATTATTACACTAGAAGAAACACTTGGAAATGTCTATATGATAAGAAAGTCATTGCACCATAATTTTACCAAACACCATGCATGCCAACTGGCAGAAACCATGTACAATCTAGTATATGCAGTAAGATTCTTCAAACATACGACAAATGGAAAAGCATATGTACTCTCTAAAACTTCAACCGTACACTGCATTTTAAAGACTTAAATTGAGCAGTAGCGAGAATAAGATGGTAATGAAATGCACAGCTTTGACACAGACAACAATAACTGACAGTAAAAACGCTCTTATGAGCATGAGATGGCACAATGGAATGCACAATACATCGGTACATTGCTAAAATGGCACAATGCAATGCATCTCTTCATACTTCTCAAGGACTATAGTTAGGTTGTGGCAGAAATAATTTTGCTTTTCAAGGACTATAGTTAGGTTGTGGCAGAAATAATTTTGCTTTTCAAGGACTATAGTTAGGTTGTGGCAGAAATAATTTTGCTCTTCAAGGACTATACTTAGGTTGTGCCAGAAATAATTGCTGGGCTTTGCCACTTCCATTTTTTCAACTTCCGGTTCTTTAGTCAGATGGCTTTCGCCAGCTTTACATAACAACAGTGAGTAAACTTGGGTTACCTAGCTTAAAGTAAGTGAATCTATCTCTCAGTAAATGACAGTACCAACCTTTTGAATAATTCCCTTGCCATAATAGAATCGTAAAGCGCGACTGAGTTTTTCATAATTCATTCCTTTCCGTTTTCGTAGCAGACCCCATCTTCTTGAGACTTCCTCGGGTCTTTTGACCTGAAACTCTTTCAACTCTCTCCTGCTCCAGCAGATTATGGTACACAAATTGTCCTTGGCGATAAGCTCCAACAAAAATTCCCACAGGTGGATAACGTTCTTGCGACGATGTTTTTTGACTTCTGAATGTTTACCTCCGTTGTTTGATTCGTATGCCACCGCGATTTCTAGATCTGTCTCTGTACCCTGTACTTTCATAGCAGTGGTTTGTTGAAATACAGAGAAGAGAAAGAAAGAGTTATGTTAATAACATATATTTTGTCGCCTTTTGAATCCTAACACTGTTTCTTTTGAAAGCTTTTATGTTTCAAATGGACACTAAAACTGAGTTGAATACGTTCTAAAGTAGAAAGCAAGTACACCCCTTTCTGCTATCGCACCATATATCCCTATAATGAACCTTTAGTAGATGATTGTGAAAGATTAAAACTCGGTCCTTCAGTCCTCCACTTTCAAGGTGGAGAGGAAGATCCGGCAATCTGTTTCGAAATTTCCCGAAGTACAGCTCAAAGTTCTTTCAAACCAAACCTTAACCCCAGTTTTAGTTCTCAGGTTTAAGAGGGTACTAGTTTCCTAACTATTCAACTCCAACGAAGCTTGCTATAAAAGCCCTGAACATACAGTTAAGAGCCATCTGCTTGAAAGAAAGATCGAAAATGACTAAAGATGACAATTGACGCAGTTTTACACCTGTTGAAGAGATCCAAACTTAAATAAATACAACAAATGTTTCGTTAAGCTTGCGTCGACGAGTCCAACTTCCAACTTTCTCTATAAAATTTATTTGACTCAATGAGAGAAGCATCTATTTTAGACGAAGTAGATTTCTACAGATTATTGAGCGATAATGACGAACTCATCAGAACATAGTGTAAATGTCAGTGAGAAAACTGAAAATAATCATGATATTGTTGCAAACAAATTTGCCTTTTATTCGTTTATAACGTTATTATCGTCATCATCATTACCTTCACGGCAGGTCTTCATTACAGGAGACAAACGATTATTATGCTGAACACACTTCTCCACAATAAACAACTCATTTCTCTTCGATCAACAACCACAAAATTTGCCTGTTCAACTCAGGATAGCTTGCCTTACATCAAACGCTTTCGGAGTGTAATTAACTTTAAGAAAAATTATCTTATTCTATGCCGTCACAAACCTGTTAAGTCTCACAAAGAAATTGTAAGCTTATTTAGATTTGCTCGTATTGAAAATGTTGTTCTTTCTAGAGGCTTCATTTGCTCCTGGTACACCTGTTCCTCTTCAGGAGAGGATATAGCTCTTCGTGAACACCTTTTTTTTACGCTTTGAATATTTCATAAGATACTGAACCTAAACCATGATATCAAAGATAATGAAACGAACTTGATATGGATACTTTTCAAAACTTAACTATTAAACTGTTACCACAATAATACTTTTGTTTATTGCACGATTCAACCTCCAAAAAAAAATAGACAGGGATTACCGAGGAAATAAAACATAATGCATCTCAACTCTACCATAATATCTCAATCTTATTTCATACGAGAGCTGCACAATCACTATTTAAACTGCACTGCAACAAAAGAGCCTGGCATGAGTCATCCTTTTGGTTTCTCTCCGCAGGATGAGTCGTCATCTCTACTAATTTCATTCTCCAGGGGTTTATTTTTTAGTTACTTGTGCACAAGACAGATAAAATCTTTTTTTCTTTGTTTCTCTCTAATGAGTGTAACTTTGATCAAACGCCATAGTTCTTCAGAATTATATACTTTCATTAGCCATTGATCACAGCCGTGGACAGCGAACAAAGTTCATTAAAGAATGGTGGACCTCCAAACTAACACTTTTTTCCTATTACAATGAATTCGTGAGTCTTACGAGGGTAGAATCCTTAATCTAAAATCTAGATTTGCATCTGTGATACCTCAGTTCTGAGAAAATGGTCATTAGATCTTTGGTCATTATTGTAATTTACTTTTAAAATGAACAATAAAACATTGTAAATTTGAATTGAAACTATAGAAATGTTGGCTGAGTTCGCTCTTGCTTCCGCTCGGTATGTTTAGTTGGTGCTCTACATAATTGAAGGTTTATGTTGTCTTGTGTTAGTGTGATCCCAAATAAATGGCGCTAACCTCTTATCTGTTTACAACTCAAGCAAAAAATTAGTATGTATGGTGAATGATATAACTCAACAAGCGAATTATACAAATGATAAAGAACTGTTGTGTCGCTTAACTCGAGACACAGCTTCGTGACACTTAGTCTCAAACTTTCGACTTAACTTTAAACGAAACGAGAAGGTAGCACCATTTAGAAGCAACAGCTCTCTGTTTGTTCAAATTTTTGAGAAAATATTCTTTTGGTTGTGGTTTCCAACATTTGTTATTATAATTATGATATTATATCAACCAGCCATGCGTGTCCACGCAACATTAGGGGGAAAGCTTTCTCATTAATCGTTTATAGTGACTTTGTTAGCATCGAAAGAGTCTCCATGTGGAGGATGCCATTTCGCTTGCTGTTCTTAGGTAATCGGTTACTAATTTTAGACAAGTCATCGCCCACCAGTATTGAGTCAATACTTTACTATTTACATTCTCTTTCTCGGCTAAGACGACCTACCGAGTAAAATCTGAAATAATTCATCGATATAGGTAAAAAATTATGAACATAAGTAACCCACAGCTCGGGCTCAATAACTTGTTTTGGAAGTGAGAAATCAAAAAATAAAAGAACAGTCTACCTGCTGTTTGTGACGCCATTTTGCGTGGGAGTCAACAGTCAGTTGGGCGTCCGGTTATTCGAACACTTTCACTTGGAAATGAAACGGAAAACTGGAGGACTTTCGGCTTTACATGGGTTCTACTCATAATGATAGCTGCACCTGGAAGCTTTTATAAACATGACTAATGCTGCAAGGTAAGTACTATCAATGTGTATAAAAATTTATTCACTTCCTCTCGACATCTTCCGGTTGGAATCATATCAGGCGTGACAGCCGAGAACGTTCTGTTCCGTCACGCAGTAGGTTATGAATTATAGTTATCAAAAAAAAAAAAAGGGAAAGAAAAGAAAAACAACAGCTTTCAAAAGAAGTTTAATCGGCTTTTATCGATTGTGGGATTTAATTCAAAGCTATCAGCTCTTAAGGCCCTGCAGGAAATGCAGTCGTATTTAGTTTGAGTTAATCTCGCTGTAGTAAATACTCAACTGGGAGGTCGTGATCTTCACCTTCTGGTAGCAGAAGTGTAAAGTAATAAACAACACTGAACTTTCCCCCATGTTTTATACTGAGTGTGTGTGTGTGTGTGTGTGTGTGTGTGTGTGTGTGTTTTTTGACTGATGGGTATCGCCTAGAAAAGCTGGTTATAATTTTCACCTCAAGGCGCTTTTCAACACCGCAATGTCCTTAGTCCTGAGAGTGTCCTGACCGGGTTATCTTCGAGCATCGAAAGGGACATTCTCAGGAAAAAGAAAAGAAAATGAACTTTTTCCAAGTATTAACTGGCTTTGAATCATTTTGAACAGTGGAAGAGAAAAAAAAAAAAGAGTTAGAGCCGAAAGAAGCCAATGATTAGGACCGGAAGCCGGAAGCTGGAAACCGGATGTTGTTTTATTCAAATTGCCTTTGAAAGTGAATAACAATTGTGAAACTCATACCAAAGGTTCTTCAGCATTTGTGTATCCTTCCGGAAGCACAAGTTTCCTGTTTATCGTGATTTTTAAGTGAAGCACAGTGTAACAAGCTCCCTTATAAAATACTAAAACATGCTGCGAAGCGGTTTTTCTTTATCTTGAAGAAATCATCCAACTAACAATGCAAAGTAAGGTTGTTAGTGCCACGTTCCTTTTGGTGGGGAAGAGTGAAAATCGCAGCTAGAAAAAAGTGGGAAAGTAATTGCTAATCATTCTCTACATACCTATAGTTTGAAGTTCAAATGATTTTGACTTGAATTAAATTGATATTGCGCTTCTTCAGGCGGAAAGTAGTAACTTATGACCACGATATTATATCTTGAATGAATTGAGTTAATTATCTCTTGATTTTGTATTCACAAAGATGTGTTTTTTCTTTTCACGAGCGTGGGATAAACGCTAAAAGATCTTAGGTGCCCCAAAGATTCGAGTCTCAGACCTCGGAGTCTACGCTCCGAGGCTGTTAGCTACATTTACTCTAAACAGAGCTTATTTGGTTTATATGTGGCAGGCACTATACGTAGTGCAAAGGTCGGCAATGTTGAAGGCATTGTGAGGGTGGTATGAAGTTCTCCATTGCTCTGTGGCGGAGCGTCGGAGCGCAGAATTTTAAAAAAAGTTTGCTTTGATTCTTTATCGAGAAACTTCTTTTATTTAATGACCGAATTATAAATTTACCATCTCATTCTTTATTCGATTATCCATTATAGCATACGCGAGCTTTTGTTTAGATCGTGCCATAAAAACAAAGGAAAAACTTTAATCAATCGTCCCATTGGGCACGTCCGCTCACTGCTTATTGTTTAGCGTGTCATTTTACCGTGCCGTGTGTTCACCCCTCGATTAACTATGGTTCACCTTAGGGTATGTTTAATTGTAGAGGGTCACATCTTACTGAAACAGTTATGGCTTTAAATATGAAGAGTTGTTTACAGTGGCGGATCCAGGGGAAGGGTCCGGGGATCCGGACCCCTCCCCCCCCCTATCAGACCTGACGCTTACAACTTTGAAAATGAAATTCTTACATCCGCAAGATCGTATATGACTTTATAACTGGCCGATTTTTGAAATTAATGAATCCAAGTAAACGGTAAGCGGCCAAGGAATTATAACGTGCAACCGCGACTGGTGGGAGAGGGTGTGGGGGGTGTGGGGGGAGAAGTAATATACCCGGCTCAAAAGAATCCAACAGTCCTTTCTGAACCAAAGTTTGGATCCCCCCAATAAAAAATTCCTGGATCCACCCCTGGTTTAATAGATGGGCAATCTATTGCCCAAAAGAGCTGACGGTAAAAGTCATCCCTGTGTATAAATGATGGGTAGCTTCTAAAGATGCTTTGGTGCTGCGTTGGTAGAAAGTCTTACAAGATAAGTTGGCTCAATCAACTGAGTTGATGATTAGAATTCAGTGGCCACCGCAGAGTGTTTCTAGAAAGACGTTTCGAGTGTTAACCCCTCGTCATCCTGGTGTATGTTACCTTTGATGATTGACTTTTAGAACAAGCTTTCAGGTGATCTTTGAGAGTTGCATAAATGACAAGAAAAGGAACCCATCATACAATTAACATTTTATTCATCAGCATGATGGATTGGAGGCGATCGTTTAATAACTGACACAGGAATAGAGTTAGTCGTACAATTCAGAAGATCTCGCTCTGGAAAGAGTGAAGGAGCAGTAGCTTTCAATGCTATTTTACTCAGTATACATATTTGAGGAGAAAGCTGTTGGACTGATACTTGACTTATTTGTGTTGACTGCGCAGCACTGGGTATGAGAGAGGGGATGATACTCTTTCCCAAAGGGATGTGGGCACGTGACAGTGTTGACTGCTCAAATGAAGACGAGAATACTGATTGTTTACTTAAATAGGATGTAGATTTATCAGACAATATTTGCTTTTGTTCTTGGTCCCACGAAGTCAATTTGCAATCTTGATTTCTTGGCTGTGAAACTTCTGGATGGTATCTGTAAGGTAGTTTGTCGAACTTGTAGGTAAACCGCTGGCCAGGAACCTACGAGAACATGAAAATAAATGATCAATATGATGAATTATGAAATAGATGGCCATAAACGACTTAAATCCTCAGCTAGTGACTGAAAACCATTCTTTCATGCCACATAGTCACATTTTTTACACATTTCACCACACACTCTTTTTATATATATACAGCGCGCCCGGAATATTTTCTTATCCCTGATGATACCGTTGATCGGCGAAAGCT